GGTGCAGTGATGAAACTGTGCCTGTAGTTTGTCAGATATGTGTTCCAGTAACTTGTGTTATTTCTTTTCCAAAAACTTTTGTTGACTTTGTTTTAACCTAGTCTCAAAACTCCTCCTCATTATCATCACAGTATATAATAATCAAAGCTGCTCATCCTTCTAGTCTTGATTGGTAATTTAAATAAATGGCATTGACTCTGTGTTTTCAGTTTAGTATTGTTCTGATTGTCTCTACCAATTAATGTTTTTGTTTGAGATGAGCCATTCCTCAGAATAGAATACAATTTTGAAGAATGAAACTCAGCAGTATTTTTTTCAGAAAACATTTTATTAATCTTGCCGTAGGATCTCAAGATGGTTATCAGATTATTATTTGCTGAATATTGAATGACCTGTATTCTCCAAATGTTTTATTCATTTAAAATGTTTATGCCGATGAGCTCCTTTTTCTGGTTGACCTATTGGATATACTTAAGTTAAAAGATGAGCAATTAGTTGAATGTAAGTGATTTCCAGGTACGCCTGGGAGCTGAGCAAATACAGCACACCACACTTGGGGCCTTTTGCTTGATTTTGTTTTAAGTCTCTCTGGTTATACTTTATAAGAGGAAGTATTTTTAAATTGAAGATATCTGACACCAGAGCACACTCTTCATAAAGGATAGCATCACTATGTTTTCTCTTTTTCAGAAGACAGTTATGGTTCTTTTATTCTTTCTTAGGATAGACAGCCTCCCATGTGTGAACAGTATCCAGGACTCAAGCTTTATTCCTGATTTTTGAAGAACATTGTCTAGAAACCAATTAATGTGCTCTCCTAAGCAGTGTCGAAGGTTTGAACTCCAGAGCTGTGGGACTTGCTTCAAGGGGTCCTTGCTTGTATCTCCTGATTGTTTATGGGTTTAAAAACATCCTGCATTATAAAACTAACAGGAAGCCTAAACCAGCGCTTTTATGGGAACTGTGTCTTCTAACTACCCCTTTTTTCCCCTATAAAGTTTTACTGAAGTTTTTTAGAAAGGCATTAATTTGAGGAATGGTTACTTATGGTCACAGGAAAATGGCAAGTACAAATGAAATGACCTTTCAGTCATTCAGAAAAGTTTGTAAAGTTAATGTCAGGCCATACGTGGAGTAGGATGGGAAAGCACGTGGGCTGTTTTGGGCGCTGCCTGTGCCCTGCTGTGGGTGGAGAGGGGAGCTGTGCTGGGCAGTTGCTGCTTGCTCTGCCTTAGCGTCCTGTGTCTTGTCCTGCATTGTTGGCACTTTTATGCACAGTGGCACAACATAGTATGTGAAGGTTGCTTCCAGTTCTAGAAATAATTTTTAGAAAATTATGAGAGGTAGAATTATAAAAAAAATTGAAAGATCTAATTTTTAAGAGTAACGACTTTTAGCTATTTAACATTTCTCATCCATTCAAGCAGTCATAAGTGACACCTGCTCCGTGCCTGACACAGTGGTACAGTGATGAACAAGGCAGGTCCAGGACCTAGCTTCACGTCATATTTGCAGCCTTGTTGGAGAGACAGACAGCAGTTAATAAATTGCAGTTGCAGTAATTGTGTTGGTCAGGGAAGGGCCACATAGATACTGATTACCGAAAATAAAATATTTGTTGAGCACCTACTGGCGAGATGCCAGCGCTGTCCAGATACGGAACCATTAACACTGCTTTTTGGTGTTTGGCAGGTATATTATTCCGTCTTTACAGAGGCTGGATGCTGGGTTTTACCGCTGTGTGGTTCGGAACAGAATGGGAGCGCTCTTACAAAGAAGATCAGAAGTTCACGTCGCATGTACGTGCACACTGGAGAACTCTGCAAGCGTTAAGTAGCACGGCGGCGTCTGTGGGTGCTGGCCAGTCGCCTTCCCCGTGGTGGGGACTGAGTTTCTGTCTCGGGTTCTACTGGGGTTAGGATAATCGCTAAAACTGATCGGAAGATAAGTAAACAGTCCATGTCCAGTGAAGATGAGGTAAAGGCCGCTGCTCCCAGTCCAGTGGATCCAGGGCCCTGTAAGGCACTGTGAGGATAAAAAAAAGTGGACAGGATGCCTTCTGGCTTAGGAATTGGCTGCTCTTAGCTTTTATTTTTTTTCCGAATGTTTTTAAAATGAAAAATTAAGCCCAACTAGGTAAATCAGTTCACAATCCGTTACTCCCAGTTTTGCCTAGAAAGCCTTGCGCTGCCAGCAGAAGTGCGCGGACAGCGGCAGCCGCGCTGTCGGGCCGGGTCAGCGCTCCGCTCCG